GGTCTCAAGGCTTTGGGCCGTGTTCTGCTGCTTTCTTTAGGCCATTAGCAGGAAGCTGGATTGGAAATGGAGCAGCAGGGACTGGAACTGTTACCCATATTCCGGGATGCTGGTGCTACAAGAAGAGACAGCCTGTTATGCCACAGTGCCCCATCAACTCTTGAAAAGGAGTTGAGGATGAGGGACAGAAGGCCAAGGAGGAGGATCACCTGAGAGGCCATGGTATAGTGTCTCAACATTCAGGAAAGGGACGGATGGTGGGTGGTCTGAGGCGGGGGACAAAGATGCAGATGTGACTTCTGGACCCCAGCCAGACACAAATTCAAGGGCAGAGAGTACCAAGGAGGGAGGAGGCGCCCTGCCCAGCAGCTCGGTCCTGGGCAGGGACGGGACATGGGTGAGGACCGGAACCCAGCATCCGTCTGGAATCAGCAGCGAGGCTCCGAGCAAGGGCCGGCCAGGACGGCGCGTCCTGGCGTCCGGCGTCTGCAGCTTGGAGCCAGCCCTTGGCTGCGCGCCCGCTCGCCGTTTCCTGGCAACCGCCGCTGCCGCCCGATTGTTCCGAACACGGCGCCCTAGTGACGCCACCGTCTCCTTGGCGACGGCCGGTGGGAACACGCCCCACGGGCTCCGGAGGCGGGGCTGCGCCCGAGCGCACGCCCGGTGGCGTGCCCGTCCTCTTCCCGGTCAGGAGAGGCGGGAGACCTCGCTCGGCGGCGGCCGGTGTGGGGCAGGTGTGCCGGGGGCGAGCAGAAGGCCTTGCCCGGTGGGCGCTGCAGGCCTTGGTGTGCGCTGCCAGCGGCGCACTCACCACCAACCCGCCTACTTCTCGGCTACTCTTCCTCCCCAGGCCGCCACCTTCTTTCAGTGGGATTGGCTCCGCCTTCCCGGACTAGCCAGGCTAAAAGGAACCGCCCACCCTCCCCTCCAGGACTGTTTTTTATTTTATTTTTTGAAATTTTAGTCGCAGCATTTTAACCCTTTAAAATGATCTGTGTAATTAGTTGTCTTGCTATTTTAAGCCGAAATTCCCTGAGGTCAGGGATCAATTCTACCTTGTTCATTCTGTTTTGGGCATCCTGAACAGGTTGTAGCATGAAGTGGTGATAAATATTCGGGAGTGGGTTGGCAGATTTAGTCTATCTTTTCACTGAAACGTTTGCTGCCGTTCTCATTTGTCCCGTCTTTGGAGTGCCTTCTGGGCACTTGTGATAAGGAGAGGAACAAGACAGGCACCCCCCCTGGAGGTGAGAAAGGAGATGTGCTTGCCAAGTCCTTACCGTAGCGACCTTGGATTCCAGCTAGCAGTGGAAGCTTGTAGTTTCGCTTCTCTCACCTGTTAAGTCACTTAGGTATTGTGGCTTTTCCTTTAAGGATGAATAGTAACTGTGTAATGGAGACTATCATATCCAGATGTGAGCATACAATGCAGCGTGCATCTCTACTTCCAGGTCGCAGATGGACTCCCGATGAAAGTGTTAACTGCATCTTGACAGTAGAATGCTGGACTCTGTCCCACAGAGATGGATATATGACTGTTTATGAGTAAGTATACTATAGTAATATTGTAGGAGAACTCAGTGAAGGGGAAGGGAACTTGGAGAGGGGACAAGGAAACCCCAGGGCCTATGAAACTGTATCATAAGCTGATAATAAAAATAACTAAATAAAAGTAGGTGTTATAATCACAGCCCACACACGGAGAAGAGGGCTTGTAAGCCCACGGAAGGTGACGGATGGCCAGGGGCTCGGCCCAGGTACCAGTTGGTAGATGTGGGGTCTGTCTTAGGATTGCACACCTCAGCCTCCCTGTCCTGCCCCCTCGTGGTGCTGTCTGGGTCTGCATCTGTGTCCAGCTCAGATCCTCCTGGCTTCAAGGGCATCCACCCATGCCAGCCATGTAGGCACTGCGGGGCTTGTGAGGGGTATGCGAGGCTGAGCCCTGGCAGGGGGTAGGTGGGAGCCTGTCTATTCACCTGCAGCAAAGTACAGGTGAGCCTCCTTGTCCATGTGTGAAGGGCAGTACGGGAGCTCCTTCCGTGGGTGATAGGAAACCCAGGAGCTGTGCTTGCTTCACGCCTGCGGCTTTGTAAGTTCTGCGCCCTTTGCCTATCACACTTTTCCTTGTGATTTTTCACTAGCTGCTTTTATTATTATTTTTAAAGATTTATTTATTTGAAAGAGACGGGGGAGAGATACACAGACATAGGTCATTTGATAATTCATTATCTAGATATCTGTAACAGCCAGAGCTTGGCCTGACCCAAGCTGGGAGCCTAAAACTACATCCAGCTATTGCATGTGGGGGGCAGTGGTCCGGGCATTTGGGCCTTCCCAGGCCCATTAGCAGGGAGTTGGCATGGAAGTGGAGCAGCTGGGACTTGAACCGGCGCTCAGATGTAGAATACTGGGGGAGATACAGGAATAGCTTAACCCACTCCCTTACTCCAGCCCCTAGCTGTTGTTGTTCATTCAGGTCTCAGTTGAAATGTTTATTTATTTAAAGATTTTTAAAAAGATTTATTTATTTTTTATTGCAAAGTCAGATATATATAGAGAGGAGGAGAGACAGAAAGATCTTACGTCTGATGATTCACTTTCCAAGTGACTACAACGGCTGGTGGTGTGCTGATCCAAAGCCAGGAGCTCTTCCTCCAGGTCTCCCATGCAGGTGAAGGGTCCCAAGGCTTTGGGCCGTCCTTGACTGCTTTCCCAGGCCACAAGCAGGGAGCTGGATGGGAAATGGGGCGTCTGGGATTAGAACCGGCGCCTATATGGGATCCTGGCACATTCAATGCAAGGAGTTTAGCAGCTAGGCCATGGTGCTGGAACCCTTATTTAAAGATTTATTTTATTTTTATTGGAAAGTAGGATATACAGAAAGGAAGAGAGACAGAGAGAAAGACCTTCTATCTGCTGATTTACTCCCCAAGTGGCCATAACGGCCAGAGTTGTGCCGGTCCGAAGCCAGGAGCCAGGAGCTTCTTCCTGGTCTCCCATGTGGGTGCAGGGTCCCAAGGCTTTGGGCCATCCTTGACTGCTTTCCCAGGCCACAAGCAGGAAACTGGATGGGAAACAGGGCTGCTGGAATAAGAACCAGCACCGAACAGGATCCCAGGGTGAGCAAGGCTAGGACTTTAGCCGCTAGGCTACCATGCCAGGCTGAAATGTTTATTTATTTGAATGAGTTTACAGAAGGAGAGAGAGAGGAATCTCCCATCTCTGCTTTATTCTCTAAATGTCTGCAACGGCTGGAGTGGGGCTGGTCTGAAGCCAGGAGCTTCTGGGCTCCATGTGGGTGTGGGGGCCCAAGCACTCGGACTTCCTTCGCTGCTTTCCTAGGCACATCAGCGGGGAGCTGGATTGGGAGTGGAGCTACTGGGACTCCAATTGGCACCCGTATGGGATGCTGGTGTCCCAGGCAGCTTTACTCATTACACCATAGTGCTGGTCCCAGAATGTTTTATTCTTATCGAGGTCTCTGCCTTGGCCAACTTCTGTGAGGCGCCATTGTCAAGCCAACATATTTTAAGATTTCTATTTCAGACGGTGAGGTCAGTTCCCTGGGCAGGTGTTTGGCCTAGTGGATACCTGGATAGGATAGCTCAATCCCATATTCCAGCTCTGGCTCCTGAGTCCAGCTTCTGGCTGATGCAGACCCCCTCAGGCAGGAGGAACACGAAGTTGGGTCCCTGCCACGTGGCGTGGGCAGGTTCTGTTGTCACGCTTGGGGAGCGCTCTGTGTTTTGGCCGTTGTGTCTGTGTCACAGTGCCTCCAATGGACCTGGCACATGCTTGATTCTCAGTGTTTTCTTATGGTTACACAGGGCCAAGTCATTCTGGCCAGGATGTGGGCACTCACCTTCCCAGGAGTCCCCCACTCGTGCTGCACGGGAAGAGGTGGATCTTGGGCACTGGGATTCCCCTGGCCTGAATCCTCTCACTAGTCCAGGCCCCACTGGTTGGCTGTCCTGCTCTGGGACAAGACCCAAAACCCCTCTCCCCTCAGGGTGATGTCTGAGACACGCAGGAAGGGGGAGGTCTGAGGTGTGTGTGCTGGGGGAGTAGCGGGGAGACCTGAGGTGTATGTGTGTGTGTGTGTGTGTGTGTGTGCACTCGGGAAGCAGAGGGGAGGCCTGAGGTGTGTGTGTTGAGTGGGGGGACAGGGGGATGCCCGAGGTGTCTCTGGTGGGGAGGGCAGGGGTGAGGCCCCAGGTGTGTGGTGGGTGGAGGGGCAGGGAGGAGACAAGAGGAACAGGGGAGAGGGCAGGAGGCTTATGGTTCTCAGATGGTGAAGGGTTTTTCTAGAGCCTTCTACTATGCCTGTTGCCACCACAACAGTGTACCTAGAGGCATAGGAACAGATGCACACACAGTTAGATATGCAGAGTAGAGAATAACTTGGGTTTATTCAGGCTATGTGTTTCTCATTTGGGGTGCAGAGTCGGAGATAGTGGGGGTTGGAGGAAGGCAGCGTGCACATGGCTGGTTGGGTGATTTTGGAGCCACATGGACAGGCTGCTGAGTGACAGAGAGGAAGGCCCTTGGGTCAGTCCAGAGACCAGTGCGTGCTGTGCACGGGTGGCCAGGTCCTCTCCAGGGCCTGAGGAGCACATGGCTGAGAGCCGTCAGACATGTCACAAGTGACATAAAAGCTGAGTGTGGTGAGCTGCACGGGAGAGGCTTGCGTGCGGGGAAGGGGTGTGCTGACCCACATGTGTCCATGTGTGGGCCAGGCCTGGGTGGGGAGTGGTCCACACCCTCCACATGCAGCCATGTATACTTCCCTGTCTGCACTGCTCAGCTGGCCTCTCCCTGGCCTTTCTCGTGCTTTGTGCAAGAACCAGCTCTGGAACAGAAGCCACACGAGGCATTGGCCCACAGCAGTCCTCTCTTCTTGGTCCTTGCCCCATGTGTGTAGGAGATGGGCACCCATCCTGGGGCCCTGGAGAGTGACACCCCTGTGATGAGTGGGAGACCACAGTGGAAGCAGTGGGGGCTCACTGAGCAGCCGGCTGGGAGGGGATGTGGGGTAACCAGACCATGTCAGCCTCTGCCAGGCTGCTGCTGAACCCGGCAGGGCTATGCAGGAAGGGCCGCAGCAAGGGGGAGACATGGCGCCCCAGCTGGGGGGCCGGGTCCCTTGACGGCTCTGCCTGCTCCGTGACCGTGGTAGAGGACGCAAGGACGGTATTTCCAAACTGGTCCACCTCCTCAAACTGTTCTGTCACAGTTCTGGTGGCTCCGTAGCACTGGGAGCCGCCCAGCTTGGTCTGCAGCTCCAGGATACTCTTTTGCTGCCTGCTGGCTTGGGGGCTGGTGGAAGCAGGTGCAGGCTCGGGCTGCCCAAAGCACTGGGTGACCTCCTCCTTCCTGGCATTGTTCTGGACACCTTTCTGGCATCGCAGGGTCTGGCCCATGCCCTGAGATGATGAGTGTGTGCTTTGCTCAGAGATGTCAGGGCTGCCCTTGGTGTTGGAAGTATCTGGAAACTTTCTACTGGCCGACTGGATGGAGATGAAGGTTGGGGATGAGGGCGAGTTTCTGCTGGAAGGCAAGACTCGAGGGAGGCCCGAATGTGCCCCTGATGTCTGCAGGGAGGAGGTGGGAGGGGTGGCTGCAGCTGCTTGGCCTTTGCCCTCTCTGCGGTTTCGGAGCTCAACTTGACTTTGGATCTCAGTGTGGCTGCCAGCCTGGCCTTGACTCTTTGTTGCAATTTGACCTCCAGAGCTGCTGAGCCCAGCTCCATTGCTGGCCATGACACTGACCTTGTGGACATTGTGGTCCTCCTGAGGTCCCTGGCTGTGGCCCCTGGAGTTAACATCTGGCTGGAGGCTTGACATGGAGCTGAGGGCCTTGCGTATCGCCTGTTCAATGTCCAGCAGCCTGGCCAGGGTCTGTTCTTTGAGCCGGGCAACCTCTGTGCTAACCCGTGTCAGCTCCCCAAAGGCCTGCTCCACCGAGGCTTCAGGCGAGCTGGGGGCCACAGGAGCCTGTGGGGTGGTCCCTGGTAGCTGGGGCACGGCCTCAAAAAACCTCCGCAGAGCCTGCACATCCACGCTGCCCACAGCTGCCTCCTCCAGGGCTTGCACCTCACTCAGGAGGCCTTGGAGCTCCTGCTGCTTTCCTCGCAGAATGTCAGGGCTCTCAGGGGTCCCCTGTTCGGCATCATTCATGAGCTGCCTTCCTGGCGGACTCCTGCCCCACTGGGGTGGGGTGGGGTCACTGCTGATGACACTGAGCTTAGAGGGCTCAGGGCTCCGGGTGTCACTTCCCACAGCCTGACCCTGGCTGGGGCCCAGGGCCATGGTGGCGAGGCCATGTGCAGGGCTGGACTGGCTGTGTCCGCAGGAGCATCCAGGGCCCGCTGTCGCAGGGGCCTGCGTTGCTGGGAGGATGGCTGCCATTGGCTCACCTCTTCCATGTGTTTGCTGTGGTTCTGAGGAGGAGCTGTGGGAAAGAGCTGAGGGCTTGGACAATCTCTGAGGAGGATGCATCTGGGTCAGGTAGGCAGGTTTCGGGGGCACCTGGGGTTTCTTCCGTGGGATTTCTTTTGTCTGTACCTGCCTGGGGGCTTGCTGGCCAGCAGGGCTTTGGTGAGTGTGAAGAAGGGGGTCCTGCTGGGTGGAGTCTTCCTCAAGGCACACTCGGGCTGGGAAGGCAGGTCCCGTCACAGCAGCTGGGAGAGCAGGAGGAGGAGGAACAGAGGCATTATGGGAGTGCAGGTTGGTACCTGTCGCCTGGGGCCCAGAGGCCAGTGTGTGGTGGGCTAGAGGGGCAGTCTTCAGGGCATTCTCTGTGGCTCGGAGGCTCCTCAGAGAAGGGGTCCCTGGAGGGCCCATGGCCCTCTGTGTGTGCCCCTCTGGTGCCTCTGACTGTGACTTGAGACTCTGAGCTGGGCCTCTCTCAAGTGGGCTGGGAGACTGAGCCCCCGGGGCTATCTCCCTGACCCTGGGCTGGGCTTGTGTCTCAGAAGGCTGCACAGCCCTGGCTGGTTCACAGGTCCTCACAGGGCGAGCGCTGTAGACGCTGTCCTGAATCGTCACCCACCCCCTAGGCAGCCCTCTGGATGGTGCTTCCTCTTCCCCACTGACCTTTCGGGGGGCTGTTGGGATGCCGGGGTCACCTGTAGTCACAGGCCCGGTGTTGCTGTGGATGGCCTTGGTGGTGATTGTGGCAGAAGAGGTGGGTGCATGCAGACCATCCTGGGTGGCGGTGGGCACAGAGCCCTGTTTGTGCCGGCTCAGGACTTGCTGGTGCAGATCTTTGGCTTCGGCGGTTGCTATCCGCAGGCTCTGCATGGCGGCCTGGAGGTCTGGGGCCCCCGATCCTGTAGGGGTGGTTGTGGCTGAACCTGTGTTTCCCAAGGTTGCTGTTCCCATTCGTTCAGTGGATCTGTTTTTCTGCCCTTCTGTGCACTGCGGTGGAACTGGGGCTGCATGCTCCCCAGCAAGAGGGGCTGCCTTTCCAGTGGCCTGAGATGGGCCTCTCTGATGCCCCATCCCCATGTCGGGGTCCAGTGGAAGGACCTGGATGATGCTCTCTGTTGTGGGCAGCTTCTGGGCCCCCTCACTGGCTGGCACTGGACTTGGATCAGCTGGTGGCTCCCACCGCAGACTCTGCAGGCTGCTCAGGTCCCCTTTGTCTATGCAGCTGGCCAGCAGCTGCACACTGCTCCTCTCGGGGGCCCTGCTGCTTGGCTGGGGCTGTAGGGTGTAAGCGGTCAGTGCTACCCGGCCCTGCTCCGTCTCCTGCATTACCAGGCCAGTCCTCCTCATGGAGGTCCCAAGGCTGCAAGCCAGCAGCTGCTGCAGCTTGGGGTCCATGTCTTCAATACCCCTGCTGCTGCCTGGAGCTGGCAGCCACAAAGCCTGCAGCTGCAGCTGGCCAGTTGGGTCCTCCTGTACCAACAACCCCTGCTGGTCCACGTCCGGTCTGCGCAGAATTTGGCGGACAATCCTGGGAAGCTCACCCAACACTAGCTCCTCCTTCCGAACGCAGGGGCGGCCCTGCCCCGGGCCCGGGAGCACGTACTTGGTGAGGCAGAGCTCGCCTGGCTCTCGAGTTTCCATGAGGATGCCTCCATGGTGCAGGATGCCAGGTGTGGCATGCAGGATCCGCAGGGTTCGCTCGGCTGCTGTCTCCTGCCTCTCGGGCATCTGATTGTCTGCAGGGCTTCCAGGTTGCTCTTCCTGCAGGCTGTCCCCTCGGATGCTCTCAGCTGCCAGGGAGCCTATGGGGCAGTTCTCAAAGAGCCAGGTGAACTTGTGCACTGACCCTGCGGGGACGGGCTCAGCAGTGGCCCTGGCTGCCTGCTCTTCCCTCTTGCCTGCCTCCAGCGCTTGGAAAACCTCCTTCTGCCGAGACACCTGCCCTGAAGGGATCTCCACCCTGCTACAGTATCTCACAGGCCCCCTTCCGCCTGGGCGGCCTGAGGATGGCAGGGGCTCCGTCTCAAAGACGTGTCTGTCTGTCTGCCTTTCCCCAGCCTGCACCTGGCTAACCTGCAGATGCTGTTCCCCAGAGCCCTCTGCCTTGTCCAGGGGCTGGGGCTTGAACATCCAGGTGCAGGACCGTGCCTTGGCCTTGGCTGTGGCCTCAGGGTCCTCCAGACCTTGCTTCTCCGCTAGCTCGCTCATGGGGTACGTCTCAAACAACCATCGGATGGTCTGCACGTCGCCCTTTGGGGGGGGCTCGGGCTGGGCGCGTGCCTGAATCTTCCCCTCTTCTTCCTGCCGCTCCTGCTGCTCCCGCTGGTGGATCAGCTCCAGGGGCTGAGTTTCAAAGAGCCACCGAGCAGTGGCGACGTCCCCAGCCACCACTTCCTGTCGGGTGATGCCCCGCACCACGTCGATGGTACTGGGACTGCGACCCAGTCGGTCCAGCGGCTGCGTCTCAAACATCCACCTGTAGCCCTGCACATCCCCTCCGACGACCTGCTCTCTGCTGACAGAGGTCAGGGCGTGGAGGTGGCCCCTGCTGTCCTGCATGGCATACACTGTGGACCCTGGGCCCTGGGAATGCCCAGCAGAATTGGTTGTGTCTGCTCTGCTCTCGCTGCCAGGGGTCACAGGCTCACCCTGCCCAATGCTGTCCAGGGGAAGGGTCTCAAACAAATTCTTGAAGGTCTTCACATCTCCCTTCACGCCCTCCCTCAGGGGCCCACTCTGAGAGGGGGGCAGCACAGACCCATGCTCAGGCACGAGCCCTTCGCCCTGCTGGGGCCCCACCCGCTGCAGGTGACCCACTTGGACCTGGTCTCTGGGAGCGTCCAGGGGCTTTGTCTCAAACAGCCACAAGGTGGAGCGGACATCACCAGGGACCACTGCTTCCTTGGGCGGAGCCTCTGCTCCGGGTTCCTCGTCTCCCTTGAGGGTGTCCAGCGCCCGGGTCTCAAAGAGATGCCGCTGCTGCTGCACGTCTGGACCAGGAGGAACGAGGTCTGGAGATGGCTGGAAGTCCTTCTCGTCCACCACCATCTCCCGGATGGCATCCAGGGGCTGCGTCTCAAAGATCCAGCGGGCGGCGCTGACGTCGGGCCTGTCCCCCTCCTCCAAGGAGATACCCCGGATCACCCGCACCTGGCTGGGGTCCCGATTGATGGCGTCGAGGGGCCTGGTCTCAAAGAGCCAGCGGGCGGTCCTCACCGCGTTGCTCTGGATCTCCTCTCGGCACGCGGCCTTGACCTCATGGATGGTGCCCTCTGCGTCCCGGATGGCGCACAGCGGCTCGGTTTGGAACAGCTTCACCGTCTTCTTCACGTCGCCCTTCAACTCCTGGATTTCCGAGCGCAGCTCCAAGGGACTCTGCTCCTGGGTGGAGGGGCGGGAGCCCAGGCGGTCCAGTGGCCGGGTCTCAAAGAGCATCCTGGTGCCCCGCACATCCCCGCTGGCCGTAGGCTCCCTCGCCACAGCCTCCGGCGCCTCACCCTGGCCCAGCTCCCCTAAAGGCGTGGTCTCGAACAGCCGGCGGGCGGCCCGCACGTCCGCTCCGCAAGGCCCGGTACCGGCTGGCGCCGGGTCTGTGCTGTTGGCGAAGGAGCCCTCCTCAAATCTGCGGGAGGTGGCCTGCACGTCGCCGCCTGGCACGGGCTCCCGGGCAGCTGGCCTCTCGTGCTCTCCAATGGCGTCCAGCCGCCAGTTCTCGAAGATCCAGCGCATGCACTGCACGTCGCCCTCCGTGGGCTCCTCCGAGCCCAGGACCTCGGCCAGGTCCTCGGCCACGGCCTCAGCCAGATTCTTGCGGAGCTCGGGGTGGATGTGCCTGTAGAGGCGGCGTAGCTCACTCGCTTGCCGCTGCTGGTGGAACTTGGAGAAAGACTCCTTGGGAGGGGGCAGCGGCAGATCCTCCAGGGCGGGGGGCGGGGGAAGGGGCAGGTCCTGTGCGGTCGCCATGGGAATGACGGGGGCAGGAACCACGTGCATCTGGGCGTCGGCCATCCTCCTGAGGAGAAGGGGACAGAGATGAGACCTGGGTGGGCGTCTTGGGCGGGGCGGGGCTGGCTGCTGGGAGAAGTGGTAGCAGTGAGCAGGACCTGGGAGTAGGGTAGGACTCCTGCCCACTCCAGAAGTCCTGCCTGAGCTGGACTTCCCTTTGCCACCTTTAGGGTTGGTGGGCAACAGGTCTTCAGGTCGGGACCTGTGGACCCATCCATCCAGGTGGGACTGGGCTTCTCTGGGGTCATTGGGATTGCTAGGCAGCAGGCAGGGCACCTTCAACCCCACAAGGAATGTCCAAGCCTTCAGTGGGAAGACAGGACATGTTCCATCCACACTCTCGTTTGGAAAATCCAGTTGCCCCTGGTAGTTTCCCAAGGAAGCGGCCCCAGGGATTCCTGATTTACAAAGAATCCCCCAACCTTGAAGAGTGGCTGCCAACTGGGCTTTTCCACGGAGATGAAATTCCCTGGCAGAACACCAGAGGGCGCGCCTGCATCTCGGCCCGGGAGCGGTCTAAACCTTGGCTTCCAACGCGCTCCGGCCTTTCTCAGACTCAGGGAGGTGGCCACAGTTAATGCCACAGCCAAGCAGTGGAGGCAGAGGGAGGGGATTTGCTCACTGGATGCCCTGTGGCCGCCTGTGCAGAGCCAAATTCTGAATCCCAGCTTAGAGTTTGCTTTGCCGTACTCCCAGACCCGAAAGAACCAGGCTTACGAAGGGATGACCAGGGTCTTTTAGCTTAACCTTTTGTAAACTGGGACCCCAAGTTGGACTGTAGTGAAGGAGTGATGGGTAGTACTGGCTCCGCAGTCTCTAGGCCCCAGTTGGGTCCTGGTCCCCAGGAAAGAAGGGAGGGAATGTGAGGCTTTCCATTTGCCATGGTGCTGCTGTGTTCCCCAGGAGGCTGTCCTAGGGAAATGTGAAAGTGACACCCCCGGGAGTGAGAGACAGTGGGTCCAGGGTCCTTTCTGCAGGCACAGCCCCACCCCTGGCTCGTGGAGATAACCTGTCTGCTCTCATGCCAGCACAGTTCCAGGGTCTCGTTAAGACCTGCCCCTGCAGGCCCTATCGCCACTGGCCCTGAACTTGGCTCCTTGTGCCTCTCTTTCCTTCCCATGTCCACCGGGCTGCTGCCTGGAGGGGGCCTCTCCCTAGTTTACCCCCCAACTCCTCCAGCCCATGTCTGCCTTATCTGCCTTGTGACAGGTGTCTTGATAGTCCCCAGAGACTAGTAGAAGGAATGACAAGTGTGCTCACCCCCCACCGCTGCCCCTGACCCACTGTTCTGCACCACACTTGGTGCTAAATATAGCTGAGGTCCTGGCTTCGGCACGGCAGCCCTGGGCTCAGCTAGGAGGTAGCTGGGTGCCTGAGATCCAGGCCGTCTCCCTGAACCTGCCTCCATCGAGTGGGTGCCAGGTCCCTGACTTGCAGTTCAAGGAGGAGCTGGGGTCAGGCAAGCATCCTTGGTGAAAGGGTATGGAGGTGGGGCAGGTGTGGGGTTCTGGGCAGAGGTGGGTGGGGGCTGAAGTTCCTCCAATGGCTGCCTCTGAAACAGGGGAGGGGAGGCTGAGACCTGCCTGGCTGCCCAGCACATCCACTGTGAGCTCTGGGACCTGCAGTTGGAAACCCACCTACGGCTTGGGGAATGGAGGGTGAATGGGGGGATCTGGGGAAGGGGCCCTTGGAGGTGACTGGCTCCCAGGGTGGCCTCAGCAGATGGCAGGCAGCTCTACCCTGCCCCCACCCCAGGAATCCCCAGCATCCTTGTGAGGGTCACACACAGAGTCCATTGATGGCAGGCAGAAGGACACTCAGAGGTCACTGACTCGGGCTCCTTGTTTCGGACGGGGAGCTGAGGCTCACGGAGGGGCAAGAAGCCATCTAAGGGGCCCACGCTGCAGGGGCAGCTCTCCTGCCTCTCATCCCTTCGCCTCTGCCTGGCCCAAGGCTCCTGGGACAGGGGCAGGGTGAGGCCACAGTGCAGATCTGAGACAAGACTCAGGGTGAGGTGGGTTCCCAGCACTGTCCCAGGGCTGGGCCTGGCTCTCAGAACCACCTCTGCCTGCCCCAGGTCTCCCTCTAACCCCAACAGCACTGGACATCTTTACTTCTAGGTCCCCTGCCCCGATCCCTCAGAGCTACTCTAAAATGTCCCTACCTGACAAGACCGATGGCTTAAGGGGCAGTTCTTGCACCTGCTAGACCACCAGAGAGGAGTTATCCTGGAGTCAGATATGCCAGGACTTTAACCCACAACAGCTGGCATAGGGGTTGTCCAAGCCATGCATGCTTGGCCCATTTGCTGGGCCTGGTGCCCCACACCTTCAACGCCTCTCTGCCCGTTTCCTCCGGACACTGTCTCTCTTGCCTGGCATTTGCCCGGGAGGAAGTCTTAAAGGTGCTATGCACTTGTGTTTTAAAAAGAAACAACCCTAGGCCATCACCGGAAGGACTTTCAGCATTAAGCCTGGGTGGATGTGAAAGCACCTGTTCCTTCTGCTGGCCGCTCGGAGAGCTCCCAGGGGACTCAAGAGGCCGCGGGCTGATCAGAGACACCCTCTCTTCCACACCACAGCCCTCTAGCCTCGTGCCACAGGCTCCAGACGGGATTACCCGCTGTGGAGGGCCGAAGGGGCAGGTCACTTACCTGAGGTCGTGCTTGGCTGATGGGGGGTGTGGGGTCTGTAACAGGGTGGCCTGAGTTTGTCGCCGCTCCTGAGCTTCTTGGTCCTGGGGTATGGCTGCGTTCTGTGGGCTCCGTCAGGTGCCTTCTCGCTACCCTGGTTCCAGGGCTCTGTCCACTGCCAGCTCCAGCAGCTGCCTTTATCTCACTGGCTGGAGGCAGGGGGCGGGGGGGGGGGCAGGGAGGAGAACCTGGGTGGGGCGGGCGAGGCTATGTTCAGAGCATTAAGTGGTTTGGTTATTTTTAGGCTGTGGAAGTCACTCTTCTATCCCGGGGAGTCAGTTACATGTCCTTCGGGCAGGGGAGGAGGAGAAGAAGGGGTGGCGCGTGGGGGGCTTCATTCATCCCACGGCTGTGTCAAGGAAGGGCTTGGTGACTCAGCAGGGGCGCCCCAGACTGCGTTGAGGAAGTGAGCAAGGAGGGACATCTGACACCTGGGCAGTCCCAGTGCCTCGTCAGGTGCCCCATCTCCCTTCTCTGGACTGGTGTCTGCCTCTTGCTGACTTGAGTACCCACTGTGCTGGGAGACTAGAGACCTGGAAAGGCAGGGCCTGGTCTCCCCATCCTGCGTCTCCAGCCCGAGTAGGGCTCATCTCTCATTTCCTCGTGCCCCCAAACTTCCATCCCCAGAGAAGGTGCGTGGCAGTGCCCAGGCCCCTGATTTGTCCAGGAACTCCACCGAGTGGTTTTGGATTTCCTCTGGTGATCCTTTGGGCCATCGTCGACTTCTGGATTCTGCTGTCTGACTCAGGGCCCAGACTCTCTGGGAATGGAGAGGGAAGGGTGGCCTGTGGGGGCTGGTGGCAGGGGGTTATTTCTGGCCCTCGAGTCATCAGCTTCCCAGTCACAGATGGAGTGTGCATGGGGGTGGGGGGAGGGGTGTCACCTGCCGTTGCCTCTGCTGCCCGGAGCCCAAGAGGCCTGGCAGCCTCAGGTTCCCACATTCAGTCTGGGGCGGTGAGGATGTCAGGGGACCACATACAGCAAATGGGAAATGGGCTTTTTGTCCGAGGTGGGAGGTCTGGCCCCAGAGCCATGTCCAGGGATATATGGGTACCCTCCCTTGCCTGGCAGCTGCAGTCTTCCTGTTGATGCCCCCAATGCCCTCTGGTGCCCTTGGGGGTGACACTCCACTTGGCTCACTTTTTCCATGCCGTGTCGGTCACATGGCATCAGTGGCTGGGGCATCGGGAACCCCTTCTTCCCGGCCTCCCTCCCTCTTGTTCTTATCCTCCACCTGTTGCCCAGGAGGTCAACTCTTCCTGGCAGGGCAAGGAGATGAGATTTACCCTGCTTCTTTCCCAGGAAGGAGCCCCTGTTCAAGGGAGAGCCCCAAGGCAGAGCCCGGGCTCGCTGAGGTGCAACCTGCTAGGGTGGCCTGGAGACTTACGAATGACTGTGCGGATGGGGTTGATGACTGGACAGAGGAGTGGGCACAGGCTGTGGGCCGCGTGCAGGTGGCAAGGAGTGGGCACAGGCTGTGGGCCGCGTGCAGGTGGCAAGGAGTGGGCACAGGCTGTGGGCCGCGTGCAGGTGGCAAGGAGTGGGCACAGGCTGTTGGCCGCGTGCAGGTGGCAAGGAGTGGGCACAGGCTGTTGGCCGCGTGCAGGTGGCAGGGAGTGGGCACAGGCTGTTGGCCGCGTGCAGGTGGCAGGGAGTGGGCACAGGTGGCAGTGGCCCAGCGTGCAGGTGGCAGGGAGTGAGCCCAGGCTGTTGGCTGCGTGCAGGTGGCAAGGAGTGGGCACAGGCTGTGGGCCGCGTGCAGGTGGCAGTGAGAGCACAGGCTGTGGGCCGTGTGCAGGTGGCAGTGAGAGCACAGGCTGTGGGCCGCGTGCAGGTGGCAAGGAGTGAGCCCAGGCTGTGGGCCGCGTGCAGATGGAGAGCTCGCAGGTGCGTCTCACTTTTGTGTTCACTGACAGGGCCGTAAATCCTGGGAGGAAACCCCTCAGGCCCCAAGGTTAAGGGAAGAGGCCCATCCTGTGCATGCGGGGTTGTTCTCTCACACAGCTGCCCTGTCTGGTACCACGCTGTCAGCCATGTAGAGTGAAAAAAGTTCAGTTTGTTGGTTATACTAGCCACATTGCAAATGTTATGTAGACACAGGTGCCTGGTACAGACCACAACAGATAGCTTTACACATCTGTACTTCCGCACAAAGTTCTAGTGGATACTCAGTGTTAAACTTTGTTACATGGAGCGGTTCCTCCTTTGCCTTGGCTGCTAGGAAGCGCCAAGTGATTGTTTTTTTCTTCTACTTTAGTGGCTTAAGTCCTGTGTACTGAGGATGCCAATGATCTCAGTTGCCTGTTTCTGA